CTCTTGCTACATGAGAAGAATTCCACTTTCCTGGACTTGGAGGCTGGCATGGAACTTGAGGAGAGGCTGGGCCGGCCCTTGGCAGAGTTGTGAATTCAAGCTGGCTTCAGTCACCAAGTTGGATGGGCCTAGGATTGGTTGAGATCTACCTGGGCTGAGGGAAACACACACCTGAAGTGGAGGCCTGAGGGGACTTTGTGTGGTCTGAAAAGTTTTAGTTTAGGTATTTTTTTTAATTTCTATAATGAATTATTAAAATGTAGACAAAGCAAAAAAGACTGATAATTCGCAAACAGCTGACATGTGAGGGCTGGTGGCCAGGTGCTGCCCTAAGCTCTTCACATAACACACTTTGGGTTGTTGGGACCATTAGAATCCCTTTTCACAGGTGAGGCACAGAGAGGCCAAGACATTTGAGAGAGGTCACACAGCGAACCAATAGCAGGGTGAGGATGTGAAATCCAGACCTACTCTAGTTAACCCAAACTCAGCAATGGCCTATCCTACATGGTTAGAACACAGCCATGTGTTATAGTTTTCTTTTTCTTTGAATTTTTGTTTTTAAACTTTTATTTTGGTAAAAATATAACAAAATTTGCCATTTTGATGGTGAAATGTAGTGGCGTTAGGTACAGTCACAAAATGTTGTGTAATTATCACCATTGTCTACCTCCAAAACTTCTCATTGTCCCAAACAGAAACCCAGCGTCCATTAAGCGTCTCCTTCCGCCCAACCCCTGGCAACATCTGATCCACCTTCTGTTGCTATGGATTTGCCTGTTCTGGATATTTTGTATAAATGGAATAATACACTCTGTGGTTTTTAGTGTCTGGCTTCTTTCACTCAGCATGGTGTTTTCAAGGTTCATACATGTCGTAGCCTGTGTCACTGCCTCACTCCTTTTCATGACTGAATAATATTCCATTGTGTGGCTGGGCCATTTTTTCACTCATTCATCAGTTGATGGACATTTGGGGTGTTTCCACCTTCTGGCTACTGTCACTAGTGCTGCTGTGCACATGGGTGTGTAAGGATCTGTGAGTTACAGCTTTTAATTCCTTTATTATTCAGAGTGGCAAAAAAGTAGGTTTATAGTTGTGAGTACCAAAAACAGAGTTTATTCTTGTACTTACTTATTAATTATTGTATTATTTTTCCATATGAACAACTGTAAATCTACTTTTGCCCCACCCTGTATTTTTCTTACACACATTTTTCATATAATACTAACCATCATGGACATTACTTTTTAAAAGTGTTATTGAGTTATGATTGACATACCAAAAACTGCACATAGACTGCAGTTTAATATGTACAATTCAATGGGTTTGACACACATTCACACCTGTGGAACCATCACCTTTATCAAGATGGTGAACACAGCTATCAGCCCAAATGGGTTCCCTCCTGCCTTTGTCATCCCTCCTTTCTGCCCCTCCCCAGACAACCTCTGACCTGTTTTCTGTCTGTTTACACTTGCTAGTTTTCACTTTTAAGACAGCTTATAGTGTATGTGCTGTTGAAGCGAGCAATAGAATAGCTTATAAATGGAATTTTACAGTATGTAGCTTTTTGGGTCCAGCTTCTTTCACTCATCATGATGCCTTGGAGATACATCTGTGTTGTTTCAAGTGTCAGTAGTTCACCCCTTTTTATCAATGAGAAATATGTTGTTGTGTGTTCATCCATTCTCCTGATGATGGACATTCTGTTTTTTTCTAGTTTGGGACAATTGCAAATAAAGCTGCTGTGAGCATTTGTACACAAGGTCTGCTTTCTCTCTGGTAAATAACAAAAAGGAAAAGGCTGGCTTCTACAGTGGGTCCATGTTTAACTTTTTTTTTAGACATATGAAAATTTATTACTATTGTGTTTTTACCATCAGGACTTATGATCTTGGTTTTCCTTTCTTGCCTTTCCAAAAGGCCAAAAGAGAGACATTGCTACTTTGACAACCTTAAAGGGAACTCCAGGAATGTCACCAACACATGACCTTTGTGACCAAATTCAGCAACCAGAACTTCATCATTTTCCTCAATAAAATTCAAACAACCATCACTGGGTACAAAGGTTGTGATTTTTTTTGCCATTGTTGACCAGCTGGTCACTGACACACTTCCTCACGGCAGAATTCGGCTGCTTGGCTTCAACGCCTACTTTTTCCAGCACTATTCCCGCTGCATGGGAAGCGCCTCCAAAAGGGTTGGCCTTCAGGGCTTACCTGTACTGCTTATCATGCCACTTGTGATCTCGTTGGTGGCTTCGGAGTTTCCTGGCAGAATAAGACCGTGACACTTGCCAATCCTGCCAGGCCACGGGCCTGAGCAAAAGTGAGAAGCAGCCCAGGCCACGTTTAACTTTTGAAGAAACTGCCAAACTGCCTCTCCAAGTGGCTGCACCGGTTTGCATATCCAGCAGCCTGGAAAAGACTTCTGTTTACCTCCCATCCAGCGCATAACAGTGTCAGTCTTGGTCATGATAACCATTTCTGGGAAGAGTCATGGGAGAAACAGAAGATTTTGACAACATGTGATGATCCTTTTAGTCATCCCTTCAACCTATAAACATGGGTAGTAGGACTCTTTCTTGTTCTCTCCAAGCAGTGGCAAAGACTCCTGAGTTGTCCTGTAAAATATCTGTCGAGCACTGTGTGCTCCCTGTTGTGCCAGGCCTTGGGCACACAGCAGCAAACAAGACCGACACAGTTCCTGCCCTCAGAGAGCTGGCTTTACCTTGGCTTGAATTGGTTCTCTAGAAGCAAAGCCTGAGATGAGATTCAGGGTCATATGAGTTTGGGAGAAATGTATGAGGGAGTAAGAGAGCAAGGCAAGTTAGGGAAAGATCAGGCAAGGAAGTGGGCTCAGCTGGAGTCAAGCCTCAGTCTGGCCTGGGTGAAGGGTAGCTCTAGAGCTTGAAACCACCAGGGTGATCCCATTTTGATGCAAGGGGTCCAGCCTCGTGGGCCCCATATCATTCAGTGTAGGCTTCCCTAGGGTATGTGTATATGTGTGTTTTCGAGGGGTGCGGGCAGACCCTCCCTGATGAGGCAGTTTGATCAAGGGCAATTCACAAGGGGTGGCTATGAGCTGTTAGCAGCCAATACTTGGGGCAGCTGGTGTAGGAGTACACCAGCCAGTAAAAACGTTCTGGGTGGGGCACCCACAGCACCCTCTACAAAAAATGGTGCCCATTAGACAAATTATCACACTGACAATAATTTAATCACAGTTACGATGAATGCAGCCTATGAAGAGGGCTCCATCAGAGGAAAGTTTTGGGGTGACAGGGAAAGGAGGGCTAAGTAATAGGTCTGGAGTCCTGGCTATCATGTCATTGGAACCTGGGGCTTCTCCAGGACACTCTACTAAAAAGGAAGCTGAGCCTCAGAATTTAAGGAGATTAAGGCTCCTAAACCAGCAGTTGAACTTGGACAACTTTTTACTGAGCACCTCCTGTGTGTGGTTATTATTCTCTACACAGGGAAGACCCTGTGATTAACATAGCCAACCCCTGTCCACGTGGAGCTTTATAAATACCAAGGGAGTGACTAGTAGCTCATTTATTCTTTATCCCATCTTGCTGATGATTATTTCCCTCTTCCAGGAAACTTGAGGCTCAGACAGGTGAAGTCACTTGTACAGAGTCACACAGCTGATAGGCGACCAGGTGTGGATTTCACCCCAGAGCAAGTGGTCCCAATTGCTTTGCTATACATGAATATTATTGTCCGAAGCAGCAGACACAATTTCCATGCACCAGAATCTGTACTAAGTTATGTCCCCATTTGTCTATTCAACAAAGGCACACTGAACACTTATGTGCAGGCACCCTCAGTTTACAGATGCAGAAACTGAGGCCCAAGGGGCATTTCCAAGAGATGGGGGTGCACTGTCCCTGCCACGCCTCCTCAGCTGGGTGTTTGTGGAAAGCAGAACCAATAAAATAGCATTAATCTGATCAAGAGAGCACAAAGTATATAAAACAAAGTAGAGTCACTTATGTCAACCAAAATGACTGTCAATCAGCCATAACACTTTGGTTCAAGAGGGAAACTACCTAAGTCAGAGCAGATATGTCTGGCAAGGAGACACACCTAAGATATTTGCAGAATAGCCATGTCTGCAGAGTGGGACCATCCATAGATAGGCTCCTGGGCAAATTACACACTTGGCAGCAGGGGTGCCAAGGCACTTATTGAAAAGACCCAGAAGGGCAGAGTACACAATTTTCAAGGTATAACTGAGGCAGGTTCCAGACCACTGCTGAGGCAGCCGAGCTTCACACACCAAAGTGCTACTCCAGGACACACTGATCTCCATTGGCATCGGCGCCAGAGGCTCTGCCCTGTTGGACTGGGGACTTTGTCTGCCCTGCTGCCCACCTGGCTCCGGAGATGCTTCCTTACAAGACGCAGACAACTCTCTCATCCAGGTCTCCTGGACCTGCAGCTGAGACTCTGGGACTTGGGTTCATTATTCCTCATTGATTGCTGTGTGTGTGTTATATTTCTGTTAGATTGCTAGAGGGTGATTAGGATATTAATGTACATTGATGTTCTACTTTGAGTGAACCTGCATTCAATAAAAGCTCAGTGAATAGCATAGTTTCTGTGTGTGACTCTTCCCTATTCCTTGGAGCCAGACTGCTCAGCAGGCAGCTAGCTGAGCAGTTGCCTGGCTGACTTAAGAGCAAAGACTATATCAGGAACATATGCTTGTCACGGTGTTCCACCTATATAGAACATTCAGTTTGCTCAATTAATCCAAGGGACAACATCTACCACCATGTTCGCATCGCCTGCCGCCCAGGCGCCACGAAGCAGAAGCCGGGACGGGGCCACGTGTTGGTGTAGCTGAGGCCAAGGCAGTTAGAAGGCCCACCTCGGCCACCTGCCTCGGCCCGGGTCGGCCCCGCTAGTCCGGAGGCCTCGGCGAGGAGCGCGCGCGCCTGCGCTGGCGTCAGACTCGCGCACGCGCGCGCTGGCGTCAGACTCGCGCACGCGCACGTTGGCGGCGGCGGCGGCGGTTCCTGCTGGGGGTTGCTAGCGGCTGGCGGCTCCGAGGGGAGCGACGACGCTGAGGGTCTCACAGGTGGCGGCTGCGGCGGCTCACCACGAGGCTCGCGGCGAGGCTCGCAGCACGGCTCGCGCCTCTGTGGGCGTTTCAGTCCAGTCCAGGGGCGCAGACGAGGTGACGGCTGCGGCCGGAGGCCGGCGGCCTAGGCCTCAGCGCGGCGGCGGGCTCGAGTGCGACGCGGAGACGGCCTGCGGGCCCTGTGCGGCGGCACCATGAGCGTGGAGGCGTACGGGCCCAGCTCGCAGACGCTCACCTTCCTGGACACTGAGGAGGCCGAGCTTCTCGGCGCCGACACGCAGGGCTCCGAGTTCGAGTTCACCGACTTCACTCTACCCAGCCAGACGCAGACGCCTCCCGGAGGCCCCGGTGGCCCCGGAGGTGGCGGCCCGGGGGTCCCGGTCGGCGCGGGTGCGGGCGCTGCGGCGGGACAGCTCGATGCCCAGGTGAGCGGCACATGGCGGCGCCGGAAGACGGGCCGGGCCTCAGCGCCCAGGGACCTGATCCGGCTCCCCCCTCTGGCCGGTTAACCTGCCCGGCCGGCCCGGAGTAACCTGTTCCGGGTCCCTCACTCCGGTTGGGTCCGGAGTAACCTATCTTGGGACCCCCTACTGGTCAGATTAAGAGTAACCTGTCCTGGTTCCCATACTCCTACTGGGCTCAGGGTAGACCTGCTCCGGGTCTCACTCTATTTGTTGCTGGTAATCTGCCTTCAGTACCTCTAAGGCTGGGTCCGGAACTAGTTCAGGCCAGGTCTTAGGTGATTTGCCCGAAGTCCTCTTCTGAGTCCGTCCGAGGTGACCTGCCGTAGGCCCATCTCCGCCCAGGTTGGGGTGACCTGTCCCCGACTGCCCCTCATCTGGGTGCGGGAAGATCTACCCGAATCCTCCTTCCGGCTGAACCCGAGTCCTGCCCCACTCCTCCCACCTGTGGTGGCAGCCACCTGGGCAAACCCCCATTCACACCCACCGAGCGTCGGGATCAGATTTCCCCAGGCCCAGGGACTCTGGCGTGGGGAAGGTGGAGGCTCCTGGAGCAGAAAAGGAATTTTTGCCTCCAGTGGTGCACTCCATACTCGCTGGCTACTGGTACTATTTTAGAGGCAGGTTGCATTTTGTTTTTCCTTTTTGCATTGCCTGTTGCTGAAACCGAAGTGTTACATAACTCCACAGGCCTGCCTTGAAAAAGTTGGGTTTGAGTTTGTTCCTCCAGTGGGTAGTGATAGTGGTTTTACATAAATGAGTGTGCCACATCGGAAACTTTTGTTTTAGATGATGTGAACATTTACCGAAAGCTACTTGGGTATTTTAAATTCGGGTTTGGGTTATGAGAAGTATCAGGCATACGCTTCCTGGACCTGGGTCCTGGCTTCAGAGGTGAGAGAAAGTGCTGGCTAGAGTCCTGGGGAATGTGGCCATCGTCTTCTGTATCTCAGATTCCATTCATCAGCTTTTCCTCTGCCTGGCGCCTCCCTCAGGTTTATTTTCCTGAATTCTAAGCCAGGGAGGATGTACAAGGCTCACCTTGTCACAGGTGTCCCATGGCATGAGGACACAGTGCCAGGGCTGGGGAAGCTAGAAGCTACCCCAGCAGTCAGCCAGAGTGACCTCACACCCCTCTCTGGCAGGTGGGGGCTTGCATTTTGATTGGGAATCTAGTTGGTTGAGTCACTCCTGTGGGTAGACCACCCACTTGGACTTTCTTTTAGCCCTTAATAGAAGCAGAATACATTTGACTCATTCTAATCCCAGATTTCTTAAAATAGAAGCCTGATGGGTGGGACAGCAGGGAGAACAGGTGTGGAAGAATGTGTGTGTTTTTCGGTTTTGTGTAAGTGTAGTGGATGGAGGGAGGTGAGGGGGAGAGTTTGCTTGGAGAGAAGAATGAACTGTGGGAGGTGTGTGATCACATCTCTAGTCTCAGACTCTAGACATCTCTGTTTCCGTAGCTATAAAATGGGACAAAACAGTTTTGGTTTTGTTACTTTTAAACATACGAAATCTGGACTAATGTATGAGTGGACCTGAGAGTGCTGTCTCTCACTTGTGCTCAGCCTGTCTGGAAGACCAAAGATAAAGATCTTTTGGTTGAGCAGTGTGCCATGATCTGTGGCAGCCCAGGGTTGTGAAAGGTAAGTTTTATTACAGATCTTTTTAACTAGCTAATAACGCAAAATAGCAAACCTGGGGCAGCTCTGGTTCCAGTTTTGTTCCTTGTGTTTTCAATTAATTGAAGGCATGTCCTTCAGTTGAAATAATCGATTTATTTCCCTGCACCTGAACACTGAGCTGTACAAAATAGAAGTATTAAAACTCTCCACAAAGGGGAGTGAAGGGGGGGAAATGGGACAACTATAATAGCATAATCAATAAAATATGTTAAAAAACAACAACAGAAAAACCTCTCCACCGGAGGTAAGCATTGCAGCTGAGCTCACTTGAGTTCTGAGGATATCAAAAGGAACTGTCCTTTCTTAATTTTAATTAACCTTGATGACCTACCCACTTGTAGCCTTATTTTTTTTTAAGATCTGATTTATTTTTAGAGAGAGGGGGAGGGAGCTAGAAAGAAAGGGAGAGAAACATTAATGGGCTGCCTCTTGCACACCTCCACCCAGGGACCCAGCCCGCAACCCAGGCATGTGCTCTGTCTGGGAATTGAACTAGTGACCCTTCTGTTTGTGGGATGACACCCAACCCATTGAGCCACACCAGGCAGGGCTGTCGCCTAACTTTTGATTTGTGTATGTGGGAGGGGAATAATATCCTTTGTGTCACAAGAGGAGGCCCTGAATTTGGGGGCAGGAAAGTCTGAATAGACTCAGAAAGTGGAAAAAAGTTGGTTATCTCCTCTGCCACTTGGTGGCATTGGCTGCCTACAGTATTTGAGAAGACTGTTGTTTGTCTTCAGGAGCTGTCTGTGTAACCAGCTATATGATGGGCTTCCAGAGAGACTGAGAAAACCTCCCATTCTGAATGCCTTTTGATTTGATCTTAGTGGATGAGTGGTTGTAAAAGTGTAAGTGCTGTGCAGCCACTTATGTGTGGACCGACCACAGTTTGTGTATCCACATGTCTGTTGGTGAACATTTGGGTTGTTTCCACTTTTACTTATTATGAACAGTGCTGCTGTGAACATTGGTGTATAAGGTTCTTTGTGGATGTATGTCTTCAGTGAAATTGCTGGTCATGTGGTAACTGCATAACACTTTCAGGAGCTGCCAGGCTGTCTTTCAGTGTGCAGCCACTTTTGATATAAGTCCCGACTGCCGGTTTTGCACAGTTGGTTTTTACCTTCAAGTTTGTCTAGAGGCAGAACATCTGTCCTGGCCAGGATGGGAGAACAGCAGTTAGGAGTGAGTCCTCTTGAGTTGGTTCAGGTAACACTCATTTTCTTGTTTATGAAATGAAACTGATATTTATCAAATGCCTGGAGATCCTGGGGTGAAGAGTGCTGACATAGTCCTGCCAAGTATTCTTAGACAGTTTTCATTTGAGCAGCTGACCCTTTCCTGGGTTTTCCCTCACCCCCAAAGGACTGGGAACAGTAATTTCAGAAGTCCTTTGCCTAACAGCTGGTGTTGGAACCCTTCTGGTCTGTATAGTGGGAATATTTCTTCTTGACTGTTGCTACAATTATGTCTCCTCCCAAGATTGGAATTAGGGTGAAAATCTAAGAGTTAGGAATACTACCCAACTAAAAAAAATGCAGTGAACAGTTGATACATACAACAGTGTGGCTGCATGCCCCAGTAATTACACTGAGTGAAAGAAGCACTTTGACAAAAGAAAAGATGCTCCTTGACTTACAGTGAGGTCACATCCAGATAAACGTATCGTAAGCTGAAAATATTCAAAAGTGCATTTAATACACCTAAACTAGTTAATGTCATAGCTTAGTCTAGCCTACCTTAGGGCTCAGAACACTTAACATTAGCCTGTAATTGGGGAAATCGTCTCGCTGCTGCTGTCCTGCCCTACAAGTGAGTATAGTACCAGATTTCACAAGCCCAGGAAAAGATCAGAAGTTTGTACTGAATGTGCATTGCTTTCTCACAGAAGAATCATGTCAGGAACCATCTGTATATACTCTCTGATACCATTCACACAAAGCTCCAAAAATGCTGGCTAACTCTGAGTAGCAGAAAGCAGGTCTGTGTTTGGGGGGAGGGGAGGAAAGAAAGGAGGGAGGGATGACATAGGGTACTGGGGGATTTGGGGGTGGTGAGTCTGTTCATTGTCTGATTGTGAGTGTTTACATACCTTGACGTGTGTAAAGTGTATAAAATTACGCACTTTAAACATATGCCATATATTACATAGGTTGTATCTCAATGTAAGGTAAAAACCACATGGAGATACCACTGCCCACTTATTTGAGTGGCTCTGTTTTTTGTTGTTTTTTTTTTAAGCTGGAAATACCACTTGGAACCCTCATACCTTGCTGGTGGAATGGTCACCCACAGCTCTGTGGTCCAGCAGAGAAACAAGGCAGTCGCCCAAATGTGGGACTGCTCAGAGTGTTACAGCAGCTTTGTTCATGAGAGCCCCAGAGCAGAAACAACCCAGTGGCACTAAACAGGTGTCTGGATACACAAAGGCTCTTTTTCAGTTATACCCCTGAGTACCCAAACTTGGGCTGCTTTTTCCTTTTCAAGTGGGAAAATACTTGGATAGAGTTGTTACCTAGTCTTCAAAACCATACTCCTGCTGCCTTCAGAATTTGTGGAATGCTATCCCGACATATCCTGGACCATCAGGGAAACAGATTCTCTTCTGATAGCTGGCCCATAGCTTATGATGAGGAGGAGTAAGTTTGGTACAGTCCAGAGGTTCCTAAAAATGGTGAGTTTAAAATTGGAGGGGGGGCTTTTTTCATCTGCTTTTGTGACTGTGCAGTTCAGCTGTGGTATAAGCGTGCCTTGAGAAAATCAGAGATAAGACACTGGTAACCTTGCAGGGGAGCTCTGGCAAGTGTTCATCTATCATTTTCCCCTTGTTGGGTTTCCCAGGTTTGTTCCCAAATGGTGAGGACTCGTCCAGCAATTAGAACAAAGGGAGGTTTTGTGTCAGTTAATGGTGAATAAGTGAAATGACTTTTTACTCAACTTACCCATTTCTTTACCCAGATTTAGGAAGATTCAGGGGAAAATTAATGCCAGTGCAAACCAATATTAACTAAATAAAAACTGAAGTTGTCTCTTAGTTCAGCTCCCAAATACCAGAAAGAGACATCTTCCCAGCAGCTTCATTAAGGTATGATCACATACTGCAGAGCCCTTTCGTTTGTAAGTGTGCAAGTCAGTGTTTTTCTAGTAACTTTGCAGGGCTGTCTGACCTGTCTGGCAAGTGTCTGGCCTAGTCACTTGCTGCCTTTGATTTCTCCATCATGCCACCTTTTCTTTCCTCTTTCAATTTTGCTCTTGCTAATCTTTGTAGTCTTTGGT